GTGGAGAGAAGCCTTATGAATGTAAGGACTGGGGGAAAACCTTTACTCAATCTGGAAACCTCCAAGTATATCAAAGATACCACAGTGGAGACAGGACTTATGACTGTAAGGAGTGTGAAAAGACCTTTATTCAATCCTCACACCTGACTATACATAAAAATACACACCATAGAGAAAAGGTTTATACATGTAATTAATGTGGGAAAACAGTAATGTCCTGGTGTGGGTTAGAAATCACCCATACCTTGGCTGTTGAATCTCTTTTAATGAATAATCAGGAAAGACAAATACCTCATTTTTCAACATAATTTCCTTTTCAATACACTATTTGTCAACATGCTTTCATATTCCATGTTTAAAAAATAGTTTTGCCTGAATTGCAAGTCACAAATTCATTTACTTATCTTTTCATTTCATCAGAGGTGAGACTATTCATCCTCTAAGCACTGCTTTCAAGGGACCAAGCAGGTGAAAGTCTGATGGCTCAAGATTGGGACTATAGGGAGGATGTTTTCGCTCCTCAAAATGAAGTTTTCACAGAGTGTCAACAGTGAAGACACAGGTGTAGGGACATGAATTGTCATGCAAAATCACACTGCCTTAGACAGCTTGACCTGACTTGCTTGCCTTTGTATGTGACACTTCTGTTTTCCCTAGCTGCTTTCAAGAGTGTTTCCTTATCTTTGATTTTAGAGAGCTTGATTATGATATGTCTTGTTGATCTTCTTCTGGGGTCTATCCTACCTGGGATTCGTTGAGCTTTTTGAATGTTTATCTTTTCACTTTTCAGGATGTCAGACAAATTTTCTTCCTGCAATTCTTCAACTACTTATCCTGTTGATTTGTGTGATTCTTCTTGTTCTGGAATGCCGATAATTCTTAAGTTATTCCTCTTCATGTTGTCCATCATGAGTCTTAGAGTTTCTTCAGATTTTTTAATCCTTTTTTCAGTTTGCTCTTCTATCTTAGTGGTATCGAAAGATTTGTCTTCCAGCTCACTGGTTCTGCCTTCCATCTCATCTGTTCTAATCCTTTGCCCTTTCAGAGTATTATCTATTTCTGATATTGTATTATATTGATCGTTCAGATGTTTTTCTGTAGGTTTTGGATTGTTTCCAATGCGGGATCTATCTGATTTCATTGTTCCTGTAGTGCTTTCCTGACTTCTTCCTTATTTTTCTCAACTACATTTTAAAGTGTTTTGAAACATTTTGTAATAATTTTTCTCAGTTTCTTCTCAGGCATCTCCAAGGTCTGCCCTCCTTCCAGAATGGAGTCCAGGTCTACCTCTAGGTCATTTGCCTCAGACATTTTATCTTATTTCTGGACATGTGCTGATATGGTCATCTGCTATTGTTTCTTGGCCATGTTTAGTGTTTATTTGTGGCCTTAGTACTTAATTGCATATGTGTTTTGGTATTTTTTATGCTTTCTGATTGCTTCCAGGAAGATGTGATCAGGATGTGCGCTTCCCTTTTTACTCTTCTCATTGCTTAACTCAGAATAACTTTCACAGGTGTTGTCTGTTTCCCTGGTATATGGCAGTTGGTATTGGTTCTTGCCTGGGTTTGGTGTTTTATAGAGTGTGATTGTAGCTTGGCTGTATGGCAGCAGTTGCTGACTCTTATTGTGTAATATATGGAGACAAAGAGTCCTCCAACGGTCAAAGCAGGAGTATAGAAAAGCAAAACAGAACCAGTGGAAAATAGACAAGAAAAAAACAACAACAACACAGCAACAACATAAACTAGACTGAATACTGCTGCCTGAGAGATTTCAAGATGCTACTGTTGGTTGTTATGACATACCTTAGGCTTTAATTTAATTTTCTGCCTTTTTTGTTTTTAAACTCTCTTTCTCTCTCTACGCCCTTTCTTGCCATTTCCTGTTTTAAAAAAAAACCTAAACAGGTCCTGCTCTTGGTCTGAGTATCTGTGTGCATATGTGGCAGAAGAAGCCACCAATGGTGAGGATGGGTGGGTGTCACCAGAATGGAGGTGCACAAACAGTGGGGGTGCCAATGAACGGATACCAAAAAAAAAAAAGAATATCAGAATAAAGGAAAACCAACAAAGTGTATTGTCCACCTTTGCTCCAAGGTTCTCGCAGTTTTCTTCTTTGCTTTTTCTGATCCCCTGCTTGGTCTTGCTTTTGGTTTTGCCCAATATGTCGCCTCCAGGCCTCAGAGTTGGGCAGATTCAAAAGTACACGATTTCCTACTTCAATTTCAAGTTCCAGTAGCTATACCCCTTCCCCTTTACAAATATTCCTAGCTCTGTGGTTCCGAGTTTTGGAGCTCTGCCCTGCGTCTGCTCTGCCTGGTATTCTGTGGTATGGCTGATGGTGAACTTCACTGCACCTCCACCTTTGCCGCCATTAACCCTGCCTCTCTAGTAAAGATATTTTTAAAGAATCTTTTACCTTTAAGTATCAGTCCAGATTTTGTTTTCAGATGTCCATGTTGACAATGGCACAGTTCTGACCTTGAGATGAAGGCGTTGTTAAGACAATGCAGCCAGCAGAAGTTTTTATATAGCCAGAGTGCGAATCTTTTTTGATGCACGCTCATAAAGATTTCATAGTAGAGACAGGTGTCCAGAATGTAAGAAATGTGGTCAAGTCTTTTTGTTTGGCAACATCTCTCACTGCAATAAAAAGGAACACACCATTTAGAGTCATCTTTTGGATGTAACAAATATGAGAAAGTCTTTCCTGACTTCGTACCTCAAGGCACAAATGTCATCTCATAATGGAGAGAAGTCTTATGAATGCAAGGAGAGTACTAAAGCCTTTATCTAGTCCTCACCTCTTACTCCTCATAAAGAACATACAGGAGAAGACTTGGAAAGTTAGGCATGTGGCCAACCCTCTAGTGAGTTCTCAACACAAACAGAGACTCATAGTGGACAGAGGCCTTACTAGTGGAAGAAATAGCGGGAGGCCTTTGGCTTATCTTCAGAACTCAAATGTCATATAAAATCACACTGGAGAGAACTGTATGAATCTCAGCAGTGTTGAAAATAATCTATCAACCCTCAAGTCAAGCTAGATATAGAAGAACTCACAGTGGAATAGAGTCTCGAGAATGTAGGAGGGAAATTTATCATTTTTCCAGTAGCCATTTTTAGATAGGTGAGAGGATTCAACAGAAAGAAAATACCTGTGTCATTTCTTTAGTGATTTGCTTCTCCCCAATTTCAGCTTTTGTAAAAGCGTTTCTCTTCATTTGATCTATCTAAAAAATTGTAAATGTTCTTATTGTGAAAAGCTCTATAACGTAATCTTAACACAAAAAAACAATTAAAATCATTGCCATAAGTTAAGGACAGAATAATGCTTCCTCCCAAATAATCGTAATGCTGCCCTGTCTCTGTCAAACTAACCCCTCAGTGTGAATTCCTGACAACAGTTTACTAGTCATTCAGTTGATAGCTTTTACATTCGAATCCTTTGTTCAGAATCATAGGTTTGAAGTTCTCTCACATTGATGAATGTAACCATAGCTGCTTTTTTGTTGTTCCTGTGAAGTATTCAATTCTATACTGAACCTTTTATGTATTTACCACTGGAACAGTGTTTTTGTGTCCTATTTTGGGAATAAAAAAGTTGTAAACACTCCTACACAAGTTTTTATGTGACTATAAGGTTTCCAAGTTCCTGTCTGTGTGCTTTGGAGTGAGAATTCTGTGTTATATGAATCCATTTGTTCAAAGAGGCTGTGGCTGGTTAGAGAGTGGTAAGGTCCAATGAGGTGGGTGGAAGATTTAGCATACCTTTGTACGCTACTATGTTCATGGGTTTTGCTGGGCAGCTTACCTGATTGTCACCCATTTCCTGAGGAATTGTTGAGGAATGGTTTATCTAGATTAGGCCACAGGCTCAAGTGTATTTCTTTGAATGCTGTACCAGCGCTGCTCAAATTGAGAGCTGGACACAGGTTGCGATGTCATCAGGAACAAGAAAGAGAAGATCTCCTTTTACCAGTGTCCAACATTTACTGAGAACTGACCAAGGACAAATAAAAGGCCCAGTTCTTTTATCAAACATTATGTAATAGGGATACTAGCAGAAGCATAAAATAAGAAACTCAGTATAATGGTAAGATGTGGGTTTGTCTTAGGTTGTTTTCCTGAGTGACAAAGCTCCTAGCAACACGCAAGTGGAAAATCAGATCATGTCTAAGTTCTTGAGGAAGAGAGAATCAGCGTGATCCACAAGATGGTTCCTATTGAGTGAAATATAGCTTCACTATCCATTCTTTCTAGGATTTCTGACTCCTGTGGTACCTTTCCCAGCACAGTTTCTCTACTGGGTTTAATATTCTGTTGAAATGTCCACAGATAACAAACTCAACTTGTTATTTTATTAAGAAAGCAACAGGTTACAGTTACAGATCTGAATCTACTTGGAAGTTACAGCGGAAAAGGTGTTTCCTTAAGTTGATGTCGTTTGGTGTTACCAAGTCAGTGCCGAATCAGAGCGACAGTATGCACAGCAGAATGAACCTGCTGGGTCCTCGGTGAACGTAAACAATGTTGCTACACTTAAGCCCATTGATACTGCCACTTTGATAATCCATCTCCTTTTCTCTGACCCTCCACCTTCAACAAACATGATATTCCTCTCTAGTAAATGATCCCTCCTGACAAACATGTCCGAAGTATGAGAGATGAAGTTGGTCATCCTGGCTTCCAAGGAACACACTGGCTGCACTTGTTACACAGATCTGTTTGCTCTCTTGGCAACCCATGGTACTACGTTCAATTTTCTCCAACACCATAACTCAAAATGCATCAATTCTAGGTATTCCTGATTCCCTGATCAACTTCCACATGCATATGAGGTTATTGAAAATACCATGACTTGAGTCACATGCACCTTAATCCTCAAATTGATGTCTTTGCTCTTCAACACTTTAAAAAGGTCCTGTGCAGCAGATTGCCTAATGAAATAGATCATTTGATTCCTTAACTGCTGCTTCCATGAGTGTTCATAGTTGATCCAACAAGAATGAAGTCCATGACAAAGTCTATTGTTTCTCCATTAACAAAAATGTTGTCCGTTAGTCCAATGGTAACGGTTTTTATATTCTTTATATTGAGATGCAACCTCTATCAAAGACTCTGGACTTTGATCTTCAATTTCAGCAAGCAAGAATGTATCATCTGCATATCAAAGGTTAATGAGTTTTCCTCTAATCCTGATGCCATATTTTTCTTCATATAACCCAGCTTCTTGGATTATTTGCTCAGCATACAGGTTGGATAAGTAGGGTGAAAGAAAACAATCCTGTCGCACACCTTTCCTAATTTTAAACCATTCAGTGTTCCCATGTTTTCTTTGAACAACTGCTTCTTGGTCCATGTACAGTTTCCTCATGAGCGCAAGTAAGTGTTCCAGAATACTCATACTTCGCAGTTTTGTCCATACCTTGTCACGATCTATGCAATTGAAAGCCTTTGCATAGTCAATAAAGCACTATACACATGGATCTCACCAGATGAAATACACAGAAATCAAATTGACTACATCTTTGGAATGATGTGGTGGAAAAGATCCATATCATCGGCCAAAACTAGGCCAGGAACATATTGTGGAAGAGATCATGAATAGCTCATTTGTAAATTTAGTCTGAAGCTGAAGAAAATGAAAACATGTTCACAACAAGCACAATATGCCCTTGAACATATCCCACCATAATTTAGAGATCATCTGAAGAATAGATTTGATACATTACACACTAGTGAATGAAGACCAGAAGAGTTGTGGAATGACATCAAGAACATCATACAAGGGAGAGAGCAAAAAGTCAATAAGAAGACAAGAAAGAAGGAAAAGAACAAAATGGATGTCAGAAGAGACCCTGAACCTTGCTCTCCAATGGAGAGATGCTAAAACAAATGGAAGAAATGAGGAGGTACAGGAGCTGAACAGAAAATTTCAAAGGTCAGCTCGAGAAGACAAAGCCAAATATAATGAAATCATATAATATTTGAAATCATCAGTCAATATCATTAATAATTGCATTCAAGTACAATTTTGCTGAAGATAATAATAAAAAAAAAGTTCCAGTACATTAACAGGGAGTTATCACAGGTTTAACAAATGCTTTCAATTGTGTGGATCATGAATTACCATAGACAACATTGCAGAGAATGAGTATTCTGGAACACGTCATTGTGTTCATGAGGTACCTGTATATACACTAAGAGTCCATTGATGAAACAGAACAGGGGACACGGAATGCGATAAAGCAGAAAAGGTGTGTGTCAGTATTTTAGTCTTTCTCCACAGTTATTCAATCTGTGGGTTCCTAGCATAGCACTGTAGGATTATCTCTGTATTGGGAATCACAGGGTCTGCAGTTCAAACCAACCCGTCGCTCCTGGGAAGCCCTATAAAGGGTCACTATGAGCTAGAACCGACTCAATGACACTTAACAACATTCAGTCTGTATGCTGAGCAAACAAATCAAGCAGCTTAATTATATGAGGAAAAACGTGGCATCAGGATTGGAGGAATACTCATTAACAATCGGTGATATGCAGAGTATACAACCTTGCTTACTGAAAGTGAAAACTGAAAATAGGAATGAAGATCAAAGACCAGATCCTTCTGTATTGGTTGCACCTCAATGTAAATAAAACAAAATTCATTACCATTGTACCAGTAAACAACATCAATATAAAAGGAGAAAATATTGAAATTGTCATAGACGAGTTTTCTCGGATCAACCATGAACACTAATGGAAGCAACACTTACTAAATCAAATGGCATTAGGCAAATCAGCAGCACAAGACCTGCTTAAAGTGTCCAAGAGCAAATATGTCAGTTTGAGGACTAATGTGTGCCCAATCGAAACCATGGTATTTCCAATAGCCTCATGTTTTTGTTGTTAGGTGCCCTCGAGCTGTCATGTACTCATAGAGACCTCACATACAGCAGAATGAAGCATTGTCCCACTGCCCAGTCCTGAGGCAACCTCACAATCGTTATGTTTCAGTCCATTGCACCAGTCCATCTCGTTGTGGTCCTTCCTCTTTTTCTTTGACCCTTCACTTTATCAAACATGGTATCCTTCTTCAGGGATTGGTTCTTGAATTACTATGGACAACATTGTAGACAAAGACTATTCTGGAACACTTAATTGTGCACATGAGGAACCTGTACATACACTATGAAGCAATCGATCAAACAGAACAGGGGACATTGTTCTCTAGGGATTGGTTCCTACAAAGTATGAGAGATGAAGTGTGGCCACAAGGGCTTGTAAAGAGCTTTCTGTCTGTACTTCTGCCATCACAAATTTGGTTTTTTGATGGTTTATGGTACTTTTAATAGTCGCTTCCAATACCGTAACTCTAATCCATCAATTCTCTAGTCTTCATTTTTCACTGTCTTTTACTCTGGTAGTGTAGTGGTTACATATCGGGCTGCTAATCTTAAATTAAGGTTAACAATTTGAAACTACCAGCTGTTCTGCGGGAGAAAGATCAGGCTTTCTGCTCCCATAAAGATTTACTGCCTACGAAACATATTCAGGGCAGGTATGACT